CCGTGTAACAGAGAACAGGTCTAGAACAGGGCACCTCCGGGCAGCTCCTGAGCACCAGCACTTGTCAGTCTCCTCTGGCTGCTGACCTGACGTTATCTTTCAAAGGCATGCCGCTCTCGTGGCGGGTAAATGCCCGGGCGGAACCCTGCCTCTGGAATAACCCGATGGAGAGGCTCTGGCTCTCGGGTGAGGTGCTGAGCCCTGCTCTGCTCCAGCACTCACACAGTTTCCTTCAGCTCCTGCATTCTGTTGCTGTGGGGAAGTGGCTCAGGTTCAAATCTCAGCAGAGGAACCCAGCCCTGTCCTACCGGCGGTCAGCGCTGGCAGCTCCTGATCTTTTCAGGCCAGGAGCCGCAGAGGAGAGCGGAGAGCGGCGGTGGGGTTTTAGTGAGGGGCAGTGAGGCTCAGGCTCTGGGAGGGGTTGGTGCTGAAATGTTTTTATTTTTCTTGATGCTGAGAAGTGTCAGGACTTGGTTTAGTTTGGAGGAAACCCCTCCTACCAACCCCCCTCTCGTCTCCCCCGCAGATCTCAAGAACCCGGCGGACTCATCGGTGCACAGTCCCTTCACCAAGCGCCAGGCCTTCACCTCCACTTCCACCATGATCGAGGTGTTCATGCAGGAGAAGCAGCCGGTGGCCACCGCCTCTGCCCCAGTGCCGGCTCCCCCGCAGCAAAGCCAACCCCCTGCCCCAGATGTCCCCGGGATCCTCCGACAACCAGTCCTCCAGTCCCCAGCCGGCGCAGCAGAAGCTGAAGCAGCAGAAGAAGAAAGCGTCGTTAACATCGAAGGTGCGGGGCGGTGGCGGGGAACGAGGCGTTGGGAGGTGGTGGAAAAAAATCTGTTGGGGCCGGGCTTGGCCGTCCTGGTGTTAGCACTGGGTGTTCGGCCGAAAAAATCATGCCTGCCTGGGTCGGGCGGTGTTATTCAGAGGATGTGAGCCCGCATCTGCTGTCGTGCGCGGGGAAACGCGGCTGCTGAAATCATTCTCTGTGCTGAAGGGAGTGACTGACCCTTGGTGCTGTTCTCCCTGGCAGATTCCTGCGCTGGCAGTGGAAATGCCCGGCTCGGCGGATATCTCAGGGTTAAACCTGCAGTTTGGGGCGTTACAGTTTGGTTCGGAGCCTGTTCTCGCAGAATATGAATCGACGCCCACGACGAGCGCTGCGGCCAGCCAGCCTGCCAGCAGCCTGTACACCAGCACGGCGAGGTGAGGGCGGGCGGTGGAGCTGGGCGGCGGAGGGCTGGGTTACCTGCCTGCTCGTAGACCCTTTCTGACCGTGCCGTGGTCGCAAAGGGGGGACAATGCATGCGATAGCGAAGGGTGAGCGCCAGCAGACCCGTTCAGGCAGCTCGGTGCTTGGGTGGCCAGCGGCGCTCGCACAAAAACCCGACAATTCTTGCCGCTGTTAAGCCGTGGTGCTGGGAACAGGAGGTGAATCCCCAGCACTGAACGGATTCCCCGGGCTTTGTCCACGTTTTTGCCGGGCAGACCGAGACGCGGTGGCATAGG